GGTTTTCCGATTTACATAGGTATAGAAACCATGGTACAAGACGTGTGACTCGAGTTGTGTTTGTGTGGTTACTACATACTTACTTTCGTGCATTTATACACAATTTTCTGAAATTATTTTCAATATCATGTTTTTTTTTATCACTATACAGTATATAGGTACACGCCAGTATATAAGATCGATTGGGTCACGAATAAATAAATCTCGGGATAATGATCACAGATACTTTTCGTGGTTTCCATATTATAACACTTTTTGGTATTATTGTTATTTTTGAAAAATTTCAATTCGTTATAGTTCTTAATTATTATGTAAGACGTCGATTTTTGTTAGTTATGAATGTACATACTCAAAAGAGCACTATATAGTGAGAGGATGAGCACATAATGGTGGTCCGTCATTATAAGAGTTAAGTGGAAAAAGCCGAGTCTTTGTGGTTGTCTGCACTAGATCCAGGAAGTAACAAATTGGATTTGTTAAAATAAAACGTCTATTTTATTGTAAAAATATATTATTGTTGACCTGTCCTAGAATTCACATTGGTTAAATGTATACATTATATATTATTATATTTATATACATACTTATTTGTACTAGTTACATAATTAGGTACACATAATTAACAACTAAAAAATAAAAGCAATAGCTTCAGCGACTAAGAAATTAATTTTAGTTTTTATTTGTAACATTTTATAACATTACAATTAATATTGTGGTTACATTAGAAATTTGAATAAGATTAGGTAGGTAGGTACTAATTTAAATTTCTATATTTTATTATTTTAATCAAGTGAATTTGTAAACCTTTACGGTTAAAACTCTCGGATTTTCTTTTATAAATAAATCATATTTAGTTGATTATATTGTAAATATAATATCTAATGTGAATTATACAATATAATGATTATATAATAGTACTGACATCATTGTGTTGGAAATATATGTGTTAGGCTTCTATAGGCTTCTTTAAAATAATATAGTGTAGGTAGTTGTGTAGAGTATGATGAAGTAAAGTTAACGTATTCGGTTGTTATACCTTATAAGGAAAAAAATAGCTTTTGTATTTTTATAAACATAAAAACAGCTTAATTTTTGGTCATAACTATTTATTTGAACAATTATAAGTTACATGTTTTGTTTTTCAAAATAAAAAAACTCACTTTAGAACTACTAATGTATATATCCAATATACAATGTATAATAATTTGTTATTAGTAAAATATATTTAAAATGTTTTATTTTAAACAAGCAGAAGCAATCATTAACTGTTTCATTTATTCAATATGAATAATTGATTTTCAAGAAAAAAAAGTTGTAGTTTATATTAATTTTGTTGTATAATATAATACATTGCACATTAATTTTATTGAAATTATTTATTTGTTTTTAATAATAAAATTTCACGTTATTCGGTACTGGCTTTCAATAGTAAACTGTCATTTTTAAATACACAATTATGGCTGTTTTAAAAAGTTTTGAAAAATACCGTGTTACATTTTACGGTACAATAACCAATTCACGGTGATTTGTCCATTTGGGGACGTTGTCAGTAATGCGAAATTTGTTGATTTAGGGCACAGACATGATGACCGATTTGTGTTTTGTTGCCAACTGTCCTAAAAATAAACATGTCAATGAATAATATTATAACACTTAACAATTCCCTATTATAGGTAATATCGAGGGTATGTTTTGCTGTTTGTATACAATTATTATTTTTTGTCATTTTAACATAACTTTTTACACACCAACTTATTTTGAAATAGCAAATCAGTCAATTTTAATAATATCTAAAAATAAAAATAAAACTGGATTTTATTAGAAAAAAAATAATTCTTAGCAACAATTTAAATTAGTGTAATTAATGCAACTATTAAACATTTCAATAATAATGTAATTATGACTGAATGAGTGCAGAAAAAACAACACCTATGTTATTTATTCATTTTTAATATAATGCACTGAAATAAATATACAAACTTAAACTATTTAGTATTTACATAGGTATCTAATGTTTTTTAATCGTATGATGTTTAAAGTTTATATAATTTTTTGAACAAAATAATTATAGTTTCCCATTTAATCGAAAATTAATTAGATATAGGGTAGATCAAATACACTATGTTTTGTGTTAATTGAATTTGATATTTGTGTACAAGGTAACTGTTTTGAAAGGAAACTAATGAAAATTTCCAGCTTTGGACGTCAAAACTATATCATATTATTCATATTACATTATTACTCATAGAAAAGAGCTTTCGAATTAGCTTTAAAATAGCTCTGTATATTTGATTAATGTTATATAATATATTACTCAATACATGGAGTATGCACTTTTTCATTTCAGTAAATAGTGAAAATGTTGTTTGCTACAGTCTGTTTTTATTATTTATAAAACTATAAACAACAATTTGTTTGAGTTATGTATTTGTTAGTATTTTATTTGAATTGTATAATATGTATATACAGTTGTTATTATAAGTTGAATGTTAAGATGTAGTAAAATGTCAACTTAACTCAATATAAAACCACAAGTGTTCAAAATGATGAACCAAAAGTAATAAATTATGATACATTCTAAAACAGTTGTCTATATTAACAATTAGTAAAATTAACTTAAGGTTGATTTTTACTATTCTTATAATGAAATACGTGTAGTGTATTTGTTTTTGTTTTTGTTTTTGATTATAAAATACCAATAGAAAAATCATCAACAATAGTCACTGATATAGAAATTAAGTACCTAAGTATTTTGCTATTATACACTTTATAAGCCACTTTAAGCTAAAAAATCTAAGTGGAAGTTTTTGAACTAAATGAATAAAATATCTATAAAATAATCATCAACATTTATAAATATCATATTCCATAAATAAATCTGTCATTTCGAAAAGGCCATTTCTCCACACATTTTCAAAACTAGTTTTATGTGATATATGTGTTTAACTAATAATAATGCATATTTCCTGGGATAAATGTATACAATAAACAATTTATCAGAGTTACAAGGTCATAATCAATGAAAATTTACAATCCACTGGGAAAGGTCATATCTAAAATACTTTCATTCCTTTGTAAAATAATCCAGTAGGAATCAATATTATATCATAGTTGGTTTTTTATAAGGGAATTAAATAATTCAACCGTTATTCAATTTTAATTTAAATTTAATTTTGATCTCTACAAACAGTTTTTTACGTTTCCTGAAAATTTTTATTTTATGGATATATGGCCTTTTCCAAATGACCGATTCAAATGTTATCACGAATAATAATTTTATTCTTATTTTAGATTCTAAGCGGAGTGAGGAAGCTAGGGGTTTTACAATGATTTTTTTTTTTATCCTGTAAACAAAATTTCAACCCTAAGGAATGCTTGGATTTCTACATAATATAGTACCTTATATTTTAGAAAATTGGATCAATATGATACTTTAGAGAGGTAATTTTCAATTTTCTCAACAGTTTTTAACGCCACGGGAAAAACTATCAAAATTTATTTTTCTAACCAATTTTTTTCTAATACTTTGTTTATCACCATAGAAACGAATACAATTTAAAAGTGCAGCGGGGTGGAGTATGTCAGCGGTGTTGGAAGTTTTTCTATCGCCCTTCAGTCGTCGGACAGGATAGTGTATTATTACAGTATTCCATTTGAATGCAATGATTGCATTCGATAAAAAAACGATTCAGACTGTCACGATTAGTAATTATATGCAGAAATATAGCAATATATACTTATAATATATAGAAATAAGTATGTTTGATAATTATTATATAATTTTAAATTAGATTCATAAATTATGTTCATGTTCAATAGTAAGTTGAATAAATATAAATTCTTACATTTTAATTTTTTGAGTAGTTATTTTAAAATTATATTCTTTCTTTGGTGATCAACAAAGCGTTAGAAAAAAATAGCTTAGCAATAGTGTATTTTGGTGGTTTTTTCTTTGGGGTTAAAAACTATTGAGAAAATCGAAAAATTACCTTTAAGTACCATCTTGATCCAATTTGCTAAAAGATAAGATACTATATGTAGAAATCCAAGCACTCCTTCTGGTAAAAATTTCGTTTACCTACAGGATAAAAAAAAAAAATAAACATCATTGTAAATCCACTAGCTTCCTCTCTCCGCTCAGAACCTAAAATTACCTAATTCCTACTAAGTATATTATACACAACTAATGGTTACTTATTAATACATATTGTCCACTCAGAATCGTTTTTATCGAATGCATTCAAATAGAATACTGCTGTAACAATTCACTATCCTGTCTGAGAACCGAAGGGACGATGGACAAACTTCCACCACTGATCACCTACTCCACCCAACTGCACTTACCCTCTTTTTTTTACCTTAATTTAAATTTAAATTTTGTTCTTGATAAATATATTCGCATTAACATATACAACTTAATATTAACAAATTATTAATATACCTACCTGGGCAGGACCATTCCGTGAAGTGGGTTGCAGTGTGGGTATGACCTCCTTCTCCTCCAATGAGTTTGCTAGTCAGTGGTATAAAACTGTATAAGGTGGTGTAATACGTACGTGTTATACGATGGTGTATGCGTTAACACGTCGGGAACTCGGGCTATAGCGGCGTACCTCGCAAAAAAACATTATTGCGGCTCATAAAACTATTACAATATAATAAATACTGTTGAATTTTCTGAAGATGAAGGGTCACGACGAGTTACGATAATAGCAATAACAGTAATAATAATAAATAATAATTTTGCTATAAAATAGTATCTACTTACCGTCATACAATATTATTTTACTAAGCATTCTCTATGTACAATGCTGAATGCACCATGTATAATTATTAAAAATTATCGAAAAAAAGTGCAGTATTTTATTCCATCGATATGTCGGAAGCTTAGTATTTTTAAAGTTCATATCTGCTCGTTGTTTCAGATACGAAACTTTATTGCGTAGAGTTAATATTGATACCATAATATTTTACAAACCAGACTTTGGTTATAGGTTACGATGCTAGGTCTTAGGAATGATAAGATTAAGTCTGAGTCAACGAATAATAGTTGTATTGCCGATCATATTGGTACTGCAGCTGTTGAGTGGACCTGTTCAAATGCTGCTCTAGTAGTGGGGTGCAGAAACCAGAGACCCCGAAGAAAAAGTGTGCTTCAGGAAGTAGAAGAAGTCGTTCAACGACAGGGCAAGTCACTATACGCTTGGGATATCGGTTGGAATGAAGAACGACCAGTTGGCGAAACCGTCGGTATCAGCCAGCTGGACGAGTACGCCTAGCTCGTTCAGGTTATTTTCCAGGTGTATGTTTGGCGCCAGGCTCGAGGTCGACGGGTGTTATGAGGGGCGTTAGTGTGAAAATTTAAGTTTACTAGGTTTTGAGAGTGTACTTCACCGTTGAGACCTCATTGCAGTAATGAATGTGTCTTCATTATATGTTTATCGTAAGTTTTCAGTGGTGTCTTTTGATATTTTTAGCGACATTACCTACTATTAATACTGCTGATATTTAAAAAAAATAATAATAATAAAAACGTATATTGCATTATTGCATGTATATTGTATATAATATTTTAAACTGTAGGTCCTTGAAAACTGGGTACATTCTTTAACTCATTTACCTACATTACTCAGTACCCTATAGGTACCTATTTTTAGAATTCTATCTGCGGGAGATTGATGGATGATGATCCAATAGTCTAGTACAGGGGTCTCCAAACTTTTTTATTCAAGGGCCACGAAAAAAATCAAATGCTCTTAGCGGGCCAAAAGTTTATTAACACATATAATTTTTAATTTTATGATAATATAGGTACCTATCTAAATAATATGTTTACTTTATATTTTTGTATAAAATATTGTTTACTTTACAATATACTTAAATAAAAATAAATAGGTATAAATATAATATAATATAAATACATTTTTATCTATATTTAACTGTGCGTCCTATGCAGGCCACGGGCCGGTTAAAACCTGTTTGAGGGCCGTATCCGGCCCGCGGGTCGTAGTTTGGAGACCCCTGGTCTAGTATCATGTCCCGAAAACAGAATTCAAAAATATGTATATAGGGTACTGTCGTACTGATTAATGTGGGAATTTAATTATATATAGCGTACCCTGTTTTCGCGAATACACTGTATATGTAGGGATTGAGTGTAATCATGAAATTTATTATTATTTATATATTTGAAGAAAGATTCACCGTTTTAACAAAAATTGGCTTGAAACTCAAAGCACATGTATTTTTTCTTCACATGTTACTTTTTTGTAAGATGACTAGACAATTTCTACCTATATAATATGGACTTGACTTCGTTGATCACATATTGTATGAATACAGTATAATATAACATAGTTGTACTACGAGTGTAAACTTTAAATCTATGCAAAATATAAATTACAACGATTGATATACATTCAAAAGGACTTGAAGGAGGCAATCATTAATTCAATCTGAATTACATCTTATTAGACAATATAAAAATACATTTTTTATTTAAGAAATCCGAAAAAAAACGGTAATAACATAAGTAGATTTATGGTATTTGTGTACTTTTATATTATTATTCTCTAATAAAAAATTGTTTTTTTTTTATTTTTTTTTACTTTTTGGTAAAACTTGGATAGAAATATTGTTTTTAAACAACAGCTTGGATCCCAAGGTTAGGTTATACGTATAGACTTTTTAAAATGATTACATCGAGAATTATTATTTTACCATGATAATTAATATTAAAATAACAACATAGGTACTCAATAATATTTTGACTAATTAATAAGTTACCTAGGAATTGGTTTCGTGAATATAAATATGTATTATATCTTAAAATAACATTTATTATTATTTATATAGTGTTATCTTAGCAAATAGGTAGCTCGTTTCTTTTTGATAACATTTTGAGTTTAAATTTTCAACGCATTTGTTAAGTTTGTTTATGTATGTACTATTATATAATATAATATATATATCATAGGAAATAGGAATATACAAAAGTAATGGCACAAAATATAAATACATTAACTTGAAAAAATGAATTGTTTATCACGGAAATAAATTTTAATTTGGTCAAGATTAGAAGTTAAAATATTACTAGCCAATAAGAAAACAACATTTTTAATTTAACCATCTATTACAGTGACCTACTTGTAACCTACTGTCAACTTACCCGCTTTTTTAGTATTTAAACTTAACTTTGTATTGTTTGATTAATTAATATAACTGCCTAAATTATATTATTTTATTTTATTTAGTTAACCATGGTTTTTGCATATTAAATTTGACCGTGTCGTATTATAATCATAGGGATTTATTAATCTCATTGAACAAAATATTATTTATGGATTATTTTATACTTGTACTATTTTTATTATTGTTTTAAATAGATTTCCAAGTTGTTTTATGTTTCAATAATTAAATATAATACTACAAATTGATTAATTCAAATAGTCTTATATAAAAATATAATAAACCTTAAAATTATTTATTGTTTTATTATTAGGCCTTTATAGCATGATCAGTCATTTTTAAATATTACGTTTATTATATACCCTAAAGTCTTTGTAACCCTGTTATAATTTGTGTTAACATCATATCTTCCATCTTTTCATTTAAAAATGAACCTGCCACCGTAATACCGTACTACGTTTATGTATAAATATTTAAGGTACCATGAAAGTGATATTTATGAAATTGGAAATTTCAAATATCTTGATAAATAGTATAGTTAATTGTTTGTAGACCATATTATTATAGAAGCCTTTTTTTATTCACATCTGCAAAATAATATTTCATTGTTTTTATTTAGTAAAATTATACAGTTATAAGTTATTATTTTTTTATTTAGTTATTTTGTTGTAATTATCAAATAGTAATATGTAAATCATGAGATGTTTTTGTACAAAATAAGTTAAGCCTACCAAATTAAGAAAATACTATTAGTAATACAATATTGTTCTTGAATGCCATAAATCGTAGGTATATATTCAAGTGCGGTTGCCGTATTGTCGTTAAATCTAAGTGGGTGTGGTGGCATGCACCCCACGGTTCATTTGGAACTTTAAAAAAGGTCACATGGAAAATCGGTAAATATCTTGGGTCGCATGTACCTACATAAAGGTTGAGACCTGATGAGCTTAATGGTATAGTTAAACTCAAAACAAAATTATACACGACATAAATACATAAATATACGGAGGCATATTACGTATTTTATTACAACTAGTATTTTATTTTTGTCATTATAGAATTTGCAAAGTTAGGATAATTAAAGGAAGGTATTGCAGATTAAACAAAATTAAAATTTGGTGTGTTGAATGCACTGTGCATATAATAATTATTAATTATACATGACAATAGCTTGATAATTTTCATCTAAAGTCATACAGATTTAAGAGTCCTTATCGATAGTATAATAATATAAGACTGGCAAGAGCCGCCTGATCATACATAATCTACAAATATTATCATTTTTTCGCATAGTACATGTGTTCCCCATAGGCAAAAATAAGGAATTTAAATGGGGGGGGGGGCTTCAGCCCTACCGTTTTTTAACTAAAAATTATAAGTTGAGGCTTTGTCCCCATATTTTTAAATTATCCAAAATAATCATTGCATTATTATTTTTAGTTATAAACACGAACAGCTGTAATGTTGCAAGATAAAAGCTTAGTTAAATTAAAAAAATCACAATCATGTAAAATTATGAATGGACACAATTTTATTTTAATTAAATAATTAATATTTAAAAAAATAAATTAAATCTTCTTTGAGTTTTTGCAATATTATTTAAGACCGATTCCACATAAAAATGTATGTATTTTTCTATACTCTGTAAGCCCAAACTACTAAAACGAAATTGATATCTATTGTCTACATTATCGTGCTAAACACAAACATATAACTAAAACTATTGATATCATTTCTGATAATAGTAATAGGTTTATCGTTTATATGTAATTGCGTATACACTGTACAAAACGTTCAAAGTCTGTTAAAATTTTTTATAAAATATGAGTAAATACCCTTGAATTTTTTTAAAGTATTTTTTTTAAATTTATTTATTTGTAGTATCATATGCGTAGGTAATATTTTAATTTTTTCCTTTACAAAAATTACATTAATACGATAATAAATCTGGGGGGGCTAAGTTCACATAAGGAAGGCTTAGCCCCCCCCCAAGCCCCACCCTATTTGCTCCTATGGTGTTCTATGTTTAACAAATAACATTATATTTTAGACACGTGGGGTTGGATCACTCGGATTCGAATAACCAAACAACGATAGCTTAATAATAATAATAATAATAATAATAATAATAATAATAATAATACGCCGTTAAAAGTGTGCGGTGTGATAAGTATAGTACGGGTGGATACCTGTGTGAAAACGTAGTTGTTGGTTGACCACGTTTTGACACGCTTTGTGGTTGGGGTGGGGGCGGAGAGGTAACAGACTCTCAAAAGTCATTGGTCCGTGGGGCTGGTTTTCCCTGCAGACGGAATCGTGAATTAGTCTATATAGACACTATACACTGTGTCACCTCAGTCACAATTTAACCATTCGCAGTCTATTCATCCCCTAGGGGCTAGGAACAATGGAAACGTGTATCCATGGACTGTTCTCGACGGATATGAAAATCTATTTTTTCCCATTCTTCTTCGTACGTATCCCCTCGGTAGGGTAAAGTAGGCGACGGTGAAGACGTTGCAGGCATCGTTTCCGGTGCCGAAAGATCGCGGGTCAACTCAGCGGTCGTCAAGACCGAAAAGAGAATTTGTCGTGATTGTGAAAAGTGAAAAATCTAATGACACATTTATCAGCGACGGGTCATTAACTTTGTATTATAGTAAAAATGTCATTGTAGCGCACGATATAATGATTATATACCAAACGAATGAGTACTCATATCGTGCGATAAAGTATATATATAACATAACTTATAGAATATTAGTTCGTGATAGAAGTACAGCACTGACAATGACGTTCAGTGCATGAGATGCATAACGCTCCGCGGGTTTTAAATCGGCCGCCAAGAAAAGTTTTCCCACTGCAGCTATTTTACTCACTTTTCTCGCGTAGGTGTGTAATAATTGTCGATATTTTCCGTGTCATTTGGTCTCCAAACGCGACTTGTCAGCAGACGGTTTTATTTAAATCTATTCCTTATTCGAAATTCCTTATTTCCTCGTAGTCAAAGTATGTAATGATTAATCCTTAATATAATGAATTACGCAGTGTTGTGATTGTTATAAAAAGTAATGGCCATATATTTGATTTT